GCTAGTAAGCCTATTGGATTTATTTTAGAAAGGGACAACATGTTTCAGACCCTATTTTCCTGTTCCATGTTAAAATAAACCATTTTCAGTGGAACCGCTGAGACAGAGTAATGTTTTTGGTCATGGAAAATTAAGGTATAGGTCATGGAGAAGTCATGGAGATGCATTGGTGAAAAAGTGTATGAACCCTGATTAGAACATTTGCATGGTGAACTACATGCTGGATATCTTCCCCAGCCTCAAGGAAATACAATAAAATAAATTGATTCATAATTTTAAACAATTGATAAAAAATGTATAAATTAATAATGTTTGGGGTGCAAACATTTCAAATTTAAATACAAAAGGAAAAAAAAAGTTTACTTTTGAAATGATTTCTCACAAAAACCTTTCTAAATAGTAATTATTAAAAAGCGTGTAGTCAATAGACGTTTTTCTGCTAAAAATAGTTGAAATGGAACGTAAACTATATCAACACCACATCCATGGCAATTAACCCATTTTTGCCCGCTATTTAGAATTGACTTTGGTTGAAGTTAATACAAATATTCATATTATATATATATATAGCATAGTCATTGATGCAGTCTTTCTGAACACTTTATAAAATAAATACTGCAAATGAAGAATATTGTTAAACCTTTAACAGCCAGCGCCACCATTTGGTAGAGCTCATTTTGTGTCTTGATATCTTGTTGAAAAATAAATAAAAAAGTTTTTACTCCATCTGATTCAGCCAGCTCTACATTTGGGTTGACATGCTATGCACAAAACAACCTCTAGATGTCACTGTGGTTCGAATAGAAAGCCCTTCAGCTAGGCTCCACTGAGAAAGTTGGCATGCTAAAAATCACTGCTGACTAAATCACTCTTTTTGGTCAACTTCTGTAAGGTAACCATGTCATTTTGGACATGTTTTAGTGTCAGAGCACTGAGTGAACATAATCAGATAACTTGATGCACAAAAAAAAAAAGTTTTAAACAAGGGTGTGAAATTATATTTTTGAAAATATGCTCAACCAACCGGTCGAATTGGCCTTTTATGGTAAACTAGCAATATGAACTTTTTCAGAGTTTCAGAGATGTTTTCCAATAAAATATGGTAAATAAATGGCTAGTTTGTGGTAATATTACTACATCTAGTACTGCCCTTATGAGTCTCAGAGTGAAAGAGTGATAATAATTCATAAAGCAGCTTTCATGCATGGCATTCAGGCCCGAAGTTGCACACAGATGAGCAAGTTAGGCAACACAGGATTATAGACATTTGCTGTTAGGCCAGTGGTTCTTGTTAGGCCAATTCAGCATCTACAGTAAGATGAGCAAGTCTTTTTTTTTTATTATGAAAAAACACTAACATTACCTTTTTCCTTTTTTACAATTATAATTTATTATCTTTTATGAATATATCTATATATTGCTAATTTTCCATCAAATAATATTTTTTATTTGAGGTTGTGTTTATTTGAGTTTGATGGCATACAAATACTGTACTGTATGATGATTGTTGAAAATCACTTTACCATAGAAGGCCAGCTCGACCAGTTGGTAGTCTGGGCTCAAAAAACAAAACTGTGTGGTCAGTCAAAAAAAAAAAGAAATGTGGTTGGTGGTTAGTTGTGGCCCATTTGATAAAAAAATGCAAACAAATAATTGTTCCATAGCTTTTTTCTTGGTCTGGCAGTTAAAGGGTTCATGTTCTGCACAGATAGTGTCCTTAACTTGAATTTGAAAACACGTGGCAACTTTATTAATACAGCAGATGAAAAGATTTGTGGAAGGATAAATTCTTCATGGGCTTCAATGGCTCTCGAGATAAAGGGCGTTTTATGGTTGCTTGTATTATCCTCAGATAGTGGTTTGTTACATAACTAGTGACATTTTTATAAATATTGCAAAAAAAGGGCATATATATAACCTGGCCGGCTGAACCAGTCTGTATTTCTCTTCAAGCACCAACAAGATTCAGAGTTTATAAAGTAACTACACAGTAAAAGTACTTCATATACTTGTGGGGGTTTCACTAGTACTGAGTCCAACAGGATCAATCTCACCGAAGAACTAATGACAACAAAAAAGAATTCCCTCATCAAACTTAGCAGAACGTGGCTTGCTTTTGTTCTCAGGAGGGACTTTGACAGGGTATTCTAAAAAATACACAGTAAAAGTACTTCAATGGATGTTTAGTAGCAGGCAAACTAATACCCGAGTCCAACAGGGTCAGTTTTATTAAGAACTTGTGGTGTAAAAAATATTTGTAAAAAAAAAATGAAGAGCAGCTGATTTGAAAAAACAGGACGGCTGAGTGACCGCAGTGCAGAATCGCTGTGTAGTTTAAATCTCCTAACATGTTGTCCATTTATGACATAGACTTATTATATTTACAGTCCTTTTAATAACATTCATTTTCTGCGGCTCAATGTGTGTCTGGCCGTTTTTCGTTGTGATCGCTAAATTCACCTTTGTTTCCCCTCGTTTATAATATTATCAACGTTCCAATGGCAAACGAGTGCTTTTGTTTTGAAATCACTTCCGCGAGTTTCTCGCGGCCCTATACTTATCAAACAACCCTACTGCTCCTGTAATATAATCACATTACTCTGCTTCTCACATAGCAAGTGCTTTCTCTACCACCTCATGGAGTCAAATCAACATAATAGATCTGCAATGAGCCTGCCGAGCACCGTAATGACGCTCAGCCTTGGGCTCCACACAAACACCAAAGCACAGTTTGAATTGAAGCCAAGAAGGAAATATGAAGGGATATTAACATATGTGTGTTCATAAAAAAATGGAATTAGCTGTCAGGTCAAATTGGATGAATAAATGGTATGCAAGTCTTTGTCTGTTGATAGTGTTGCTCCCTCAGGATTATGCCACAGCTTCTACCTAGAGTACATTTGCACAGTGCATGCACAATAAAACAACACTTATTTAACCATGCTCACTACTCGACATGCTTTGTTCTCCCTTAACCTTTCATCTCTGTATATTTTTCTCTTCTCCACACACATCTATCTTTGTAGTCACACTCCGAGACAATTTTTCTTCCTCTCATTTTTACCTCACAGTGTGCTGTATATGTCACACACCCTACTATGCATGTTACAACATCTCCAGACTCACTTAGAAATACCACCTTTGTCTTTTTCTTTCATAAAGCTTACATTATTTGTACTGTTCTGTGGGAAGTGAATTCAAGAACCCTGAATCACATTCTCGCTAATTAGTAAATACAGGAGGTAAGTCTAGCTTCTGCGCTGCGATCTCTGAAAGGAAGGAAAGATGAAGTCATGTTTTTTTTGAGTGAAGGAAATCAAACCTGAATGTTGGTGGTCTGCGCAACTTCTCTTTGATTTGGGGATTAGAGCTAAGGACTGTTCATCGCTGTCTTAACAATTACTCTGAGGCTAACGGAAGCCGACGCCGTTAATCTTCACACGCTGGAACCAATGTAGAAAAAGGGTAGAAAGTCAGCAGAGCAGTTACAGGATTTTTTAGTAGTTTTTAGTAGAAATCTCCCTTACAATAAAGGCAGTAGGCCTATATCAGTAGGCCCGTGTGTCATCTCCAATAAATGGCTTCAACCATCCTTTAAACTCAGGGTTTGATTCCCACTCCTTTCTGTACTTTTGTGAATAGGCCACAGTAACTTTAGACTGTGACATGATGACCTACGTGGATGTTTAGCTTGTCACAGAGGCACACACACAGTGGACGAGGTGATTAAGTGACTGAGGCTGTGTGAGTCAAAGCAAAGCAAAGGCAGTTATTTATTATAGTGTGACAGTGAAGAAACATTTACATTTTACATTTAAATCCCGCTCATGCGCAATTCATTTGCAGTCTCGACGCGGGAGAGTGTGGCTGTCTCCTCTCTGCTCTGACTGCAGCTGAGCTGCTGCGGGAGGCCGAGCGCCTGTGAGTACTATGGGAGGGCAGAGGGGCTCACGGCAGCACCCGCGGCTCGTTAACTGCTGAACAATATTTGAGTCTCCAAACACCAGAAAAGTCCCTAATAACACCATTACAAGTCGTTAAATTAGTCGTTAGTCGCTTTTGACAAAAATAAGTAGCCGGAGGGTTTGGAAAGCCGCCGAATTTAACGAGAAAGTCGCCAAGTGGCAACACTGCTAGTGGGTTGCCAGGTTTGCGCGCACGGTGCTATAATCACCCAATCACGTTTCGAAACAACGAAATGTAATATCTCAATACAAAAACAAACGCAAATATTTCATTTTAAAAAGTCAAGTCCTTTCAAGTCATCTGTCTCAAGCTTAAGTCAAGTCTCAAGTCATGAATACCAAGTCAAAGTCAAGTCAAGTCTTTTATCAATGTTAGTCAAGCAAGTCTCAAGTCCAAAAATATGCGACTCGAGTCCGACTCGAGTCAAGTCATGTGACTCGAGTCCCCACCTCTGCCCTCTCCACACCTCTCCCTCCACCAGCAACGCTTAGCTGTCCACTCTTCCTGTCCATATGGGAAGGGTGCACACATACAAATGACACAAAGACATCTTAAGGGCAAACCATACTTGTCTATGTTTTAGATTACCAAAAAACTAAAAATGTAGCTTACAATGTGTTATTTACATGTGTAAGTGTTGTTACAGTATGTAGTGTCTCTACTTTAAAGAGTCATGTCCTGCTGATGTTCCAGCAGATTCTGCAGAATCTGCTGGAACACCTCGTTTTTTTGATCTGGTGTTCAAAAAGGAGTCTCTCTGTTTCACTCCGATGACCTTAGAGCAGGTTTTAACATGTTGTTCAGGCTGTTCCTGTCTTTCAGTGTCAGGCTATGGAACCAGCAGATAAAAGAAAAACAAATAAGGCTCTCAATGAATGCTTGGTAAAAACAAAACGTTTCTAGGTGTCTGAGCACCACACTTCTAACGCTGGTCAGAAGCACAGTGTATCCTAATCCATCTCGTTTCCACCTCCTAATGCGCTCACGATCTGGTGCCCAGAGTCCGCTAAACAGATGTGCTCGTCCCCCTGCAGGTGCTGCTCCCCCCGGTGGTCTCCTGTGTGGAGGACTCCTTCTATAAGATCACCTCAGAGGCTCTGCTGGTGGTCCTGCAGCTGGTGAGAGTGATGAGGCCTCAAGGACCCTCAGCAGGGGGGGGATTCGACCCCAAACCCTTCGTCAGAGAGGTGAGGAGGGGTTTACAGAGGGAGCAGGGTATAAATAAGAGCCTGTGGTCGACTGATCTGAGTGGGATGTAAGAGGTCTGAGATGCATGAAGGGTTCAAGGTTCAAGGTTCTTTATTGTCAATCTGACATAGCTACAGAGTAATTATGCAGTTGAAAATCTTATGTCACAGGCTTCTCCAACAATGCAACATAATAACATAACATAATAACAATAAGAGCAAGAGCAATACAAAAATAATAATAGTTATAAAAATGAAATAAAGTTATGATGTGGAATAGTGCAGTATGAGTCTATATACAAGTTATTGGAATGATATATATATATTAGGTATTAGATACATACTACTGAGTAGCAGTTGAATGTTTGAAGTTGTTTCAACAGTTCAATTTTTTAACAGTCTCACTGCCCGCGGGAAGAAACTGTCTCCGAATCTTCTTGTCCTTGCCAGGATGCTGCGGTAACGTCTGCCAGACGGCAACAGAAAGAACAGTTTGTGGCTGGGGTGATGGGGGTCTTTGATAATCCGTAGTGATTTCTTCCTGAGCCGCTGGGAGTAAAGGTCCTCCATGGATGGCAGCTCCGTCCTGGTGATGTGCTGTGCAGTTTTCACCACCCTCTGTAAAGCCTTACGATCGAGGTCGGTGCAGCTGCCGTACCAGGCCGTCATGCTGCCAGTGAGGATACTCTCTATCGTGCACCTGTAGAAGTTGCAGAGTATCCTGGAATCCATTTTGAACCTCCTCAACCTGCGGAGGAAGAAGAGCCGCTGTCGAGCTTTCTTAGTGATGGTGGTGGTGTGAAGAGACCATGTCAGGTCCTCAGTGATGTGGACCCCAAGGAACCTGAAACTTTTGACTCTCTCCACCGTAGTCCCATTGATGGCGATGGGGGCGTGTCCCTCTCCCTGCTGCTTCCTGTAGTCCACAATCAGCTCCTTTGTTTTGCTGATGTTGAGATGGAGGTTGTTCTCCTGGCACCAAGATGTCAGGTTTTCGACCTCCTCTCTGTATGCCGTCTCGTCATCGTCTGTGATCTGGCCGATGACGGTCGTGTCATCAGCAAACTTCACGATGGTGTTGGAGCTGTGTGTGGCCACGCAGTCGTGGGTGAACAGGGAGTAGAGGAGAGGGCTGAGCACGCAGCCTTGAGGGGCACCGGTGTTGAGAATCAGGGTGGAGGATGTGATATTTCCCACCCGCACTGCCTGGGGTCTGCCCGTCAGGAAGTTCAGGATCCAGTCGCAGAGGGCGCTGTTGAGTCCGAGGTCTCTGAGCTTGATGGCCAGCTTGGAGGGCACAATGGTGTTGAATGCTGAACTGTAGTCAATGAACAGCATTCTCACATATGTGTTCCTCTTCTTCGGGTCCAGGTGTGAGAGGGCAGTGTGGAGGGTGAGGGCTATGGCGTCGTCTGTGGACCTGTTTGCTCTGTAGGCAAACTGCAGGGGGTCCAGAGATTCAGGGAGGGAGGAGGTGATGAATAATTTGACTAACCGCTCAAAGCACTTCATTATGATGGAGGTGAGTGCTACTGGGCGGTAGTCGTTGGGGCAGGTGATGATTGTCTTTTTGGGGACAGAAATGATGGTGGAGTGTTTAAGACATGTGGGGACTACAGACTGCAGCAGGGACCTGTTGAAGATGTCTGTGAACACCTCTGCCAGCTGAACTGCACACACCCCGAGAACACGGCCAGGGATGCCATCAGGTCCAGGAGCCTTGTGTGGGTTAACCCTTTTAAAGGATTTACACACATCTGCCCTATTTAAAACAAAAGGGCAGTGTAGCTCCTGGTCCCTCTGTACCTCCACAGCCCGGCTGCTCTCGAAGCGTGCAAAAAAACTGTTTAGCTCATCTGGGAGAGATGCGCACGCAGACACTCCCGCAGCACCCCCCGCTGCTCCTTTGTAGTCAGTCATTGTCCTTAGTCCCCCCACATATTCCTAGTGTTACAGCCTTTGAAGTCAGATTCCACCTTCTCTTTGTACTGTCTCTTTGCATTTTTTATTGCTCTCCGGAGATCATACCTAGACTTCCTGTACTCCTCCAAATCTCCCGCTGTGTGCGCGAGAGTGCGCGCTTTCAGTTTGCCGCGCACCTCACCGTTTACCCAGGGCTTTTGATTTGGGAATGTCCGTACAGAAACCTTCGGGACCACGTCATCGATGCATTTCCCAATGTAGCACAGCCATGTAGGGCCTTGTGAGTAACAAACGGTAGCCTGAACACTACTCTGTGTTCTACAGTGATGTGAGGATATGTGTGATGTGGTATCTACGACTGAATTATTAAGCGTTTTTCCAGAGGTGCGGGCGGTACAGGGCTTCTTGGTTGAAAGAGGAGAAAAAAGGCAGAAAGCACTGCAACATGCTGCTTTATTTGGAGCTCAAATCTTGTAAGATCTTTTATAAATATTGGGATAACTACATGCACAATGTGTTGTTATGTTTCCGACAATTCACCACAGTAGAGATGACGCCTGAGCAATAATCAATGTGACTCTCGGCTGCCTGCAGTTCGAGCTGTTCCTGGGTCTGTTTCCTTTGTAGCTGATAAATACATATCTGTTATGAACTGAAGCTTTAAGAGAGGTATTTTAAATGTTGTCTTACAATGGGGTGGCTTTGAATCCCTGATGGTGGCAATGAGATGATCCCAATCAGTATTTGCTTCAGAGTCAGGTGGGCAGTCTTCATCGGCGCTGGATCCATCGCTGCTAGACGCCGTTTCAGGAATGTAGTCTTTATCACTGACGGAACCTTCATTACTGGAAAGGCAGATGTCCTTCATCTTTAAAAAATAAATAAAGGAACACCAAGTTTGCATTTTTTTCATTATCCAAAGAAATCA